TGAGGTGCGCTCTATGGTCTGGAAAATACGGTATTTTCTTCAGAAAATCTGCACAGATCTCAACACATTCAAATGGCTTTCTCCTCTGTTAATGGTTAGTGGGTCTAATCTTCAAGTAATCTGATTACAGGAGTCCCTGATGAACACATCTCTCTGGAATCTGTTTCTCTGCTGTTTTAAATCACAGCAGTTGGAGCGTACGTGTTGTGCTGTGTGGACGCTATGAAGCCATTTTTAGTCAGAACTGAGACGCCTAACTGCAGGTAATCGCACCGCAGGTTGCAGCTGATAGTGGTTTTGTAAAGCAGCAGGAGCTGCAGCTCTGACAGAACATGTAGTCCAGCCCCGAGTGGTGGAAGGCAGCCCTACATGAGCTGCCCTCCCCGTCAGCAAATCTGTTTTAATGGACGTAACCGAAGTGATCGTCATGCATCGACCATCAGCATTCAGCCAGAGAGGCAGACGGAGTAGCAACAGCCAAAGGCTAACAGGATTAGCTGCTGAAAATATCCCAGGCAGGGATGTCCCTGGTCTTATCTTAGCTCTGTCTAAGCAGGCTTTTCTCTCTGTGGGAAGCAAAACAGTCAGAGACTTCTGGGACCAGTCAGGTCCTGAACCTCCACCTGGAAACCCTCCTTCTGCAGAGCAGAATCAGAGGTGGATCAGTGAAGCTGAAAGTGGCTGATATCTGTTCTGATTGGCCACTGGCTGCTTTAATCCACATAAAACTGTTTTTCTATTAATCAACAATGTTAAAACTAAACAAGAACTCTCAGCATTTTATCAAAAATGCATCAACGCAATAAAGGTTATGGGTTAAAGTTAGCTTTAAAGCATCAACTCGGCTAATTTAATCCCTTCTTCTCTTGTCCACCATAAAGTTTAGGCCCCCGTCACACCTTGCCTGACGTCCCAGAATCTCCTAAAACACTAACCTGACTCCGCCAGATGGATTTGCTCCGCATATCCATCTGGAAACCTTCCGTTGAAGTAATTTTGGGAAGGGGCGAAAATACTGGT